TGCATCTGTAACTTTCACTCCATGCATCTGAAGAAGTGAGGTTTTTTACACACGAAAGCTTATGCCCAAATAGATCTGTTAGTCTTTAAGGTGCCACCCGACTCCTTGTTGTTTTTGTGGATACAGACTAACACGGCTACCCCCTGATATTTTGTGAAGTAGTACTTTGACCTGATTGATAGGTGAACCAGCTTATAGTCACAAGTATACATTCACTGGGATACTCTTACATGGAGTTCCAAACTTCTTTTGACTGTTAGGTGGCAGCATTCATCCAAGCCTTTTTATTATAATGAATTAATCAGGAACCATGACATACCCAATATGACTGGATGTTCTGGAACTCAATTCCAAAGTAGTCGGACTCAACCAAATTCAAATGCTTATAAACCTCTGTCAGCAACGTCTGGCCACAGCACTTGGACTGGAAGAGTAAAAATAAGAAGTATAACAAGATTAAGTATAATTCAAATGAGTTTATTACAAAGTGGAAACAAGATGTATTAACTTTTAAAAGCAGTGGGAAAAAATGTTTCAGAACACTTTTGTATTATTGATCACTAATATTACTGTAGCATTTAAAAGCCCCAACCAGCATTAGGCTCTGTACAAACACACATAACTCAGTTAAAATTACTAGTGGGCATTTCAATAAATTAGCACAAATTTTGCTGTATAACTTGGAGATGCAGGTCCAGATCCTGAGGTGTGCTAGACCTGTAATTCAGTGCACCTGAAGGGGGAGAGGAGAGATCATTTTAAACCAGAGCAGCTGGAGGCCAGTTCAGCCCCTGGTCATAAGTTACAATACCTTAAGGCTGCTCTAATTTATAATTGCTTGCAATGGCACAAAGTTGGCTATGCTGAATGAGAATTCACCCTCAACAAGGAAATCCTCAGCTGGCAAACTGAGGCAGCTTTAAGTCCCCCTTGTACTTCCAGAGCAATACAATGGGACTTAGTGGGGCCAAAGATATGGCCTCTAATGTATATCTGAAAAGATTCACAGGTTGCTGGTCCACTAATGAGCTGGAGGACCCTCACACGAGTCCCTCACTGACAGAGCTAGAATATGGGCTCTGTGGTGGAGAATCTCAGCTCTCATTTCTAGCTTTTTTTCTTGCAAGGACATCCAGGAAAACACACAACATGGCTGCTAAGGTCTTAAGGTATACACACCTGGGCTCCACTTCTGTGTCAGGAAGCTGCTGGAGTCTAAAGATCTCCATCTCTCTCACATTAGCTGTGTGTGTAAAATTAATTTGCGACATCCCAAAGAATCAGCTCGCTAACTCTCCCCACAATCTTTATATCAATTTTGCACACAGAGACAACAACCATGGATACAAACGGATTATGTTAAGTGGGAGGAAGCAGCAAAAAATTTCATAACCTACCCAAAATGCTAAAGTTGGACCTACTTGTTCAAATTTTCAGCTCTCTCTCTCTGCTCCCACTATTGCATGACTAGCAGCTAGCTGCCTTTCGTGAATTCCCCCATCAGTCAATGCATCTAGATTGCATGGGGGATGCTCCACATGGTGGGTATAGGGATGAGGAAACTTACAGCTCCAGCAACACAAAAGGAAAGGAGATAAGGAAAGAGACAAGACTAAGCTGAAGCCATATGGGGCAGAAGTTCTGTAGCCACTGAAAACCCATCTCTCTCACTGAGCTAGGTCTATCATGAGCACCAACTAGGAGAGCTTACACACTCAAAAACTAAATGGAATCTATTCTCCAGTTGAGTATCTAGCTCACTAGCAGAGAGAACCTCACCCACATCCAACTAACCACCTCAAAACCAGATACTAGGACTACTTGCCTACCACCACTGCTGCCAGCAGAGGCCACAGTACAAATCGTCTGTCACCATCAATGCTGATGGAAGGTAGCCAGGTAGAGGAGCCACCTAAAGGAACCTACATGAGATGGAAGGACAAGGGACAAGCAAGGCAGGACAAGAAATATTTTTACCTTGGGGAGAGGGGGAAGAATTAGAGAATGATTTTGGGAGTGAGGAAACTATGGAATACATACATTTTTATTTAACAAGATAAGGAGGAAGAGTATGGAACTAATGGATTTTTGGATGGGGCAGGAATGTATTTTACCCTGGGAAATGTATGTATGAATGAATGAGGTGGAACATTTTTGAGGAAGCACTTTGTTCAAATTTTGGCATTGTGCTATCACTGTGTAAAACACAGCAATACAAACTAAACGAGAAATGAAAACAAACCACAACCCCGACCCCCCATAAAAAGGTGTTTTCTAGCAAAAACGATTCTAGTTTTTCCCTGCTTATTAATATTTATGTTCAAGATTCGGTGATAATGATCAGTTCCTCCTTCAGTCTAGATTTCAGCAGCTAGTTCTGGTACTGTGAAGGAGAACGTCCAATATGCCCTTGATAAAGTATATTAATTTAGGCTTGGTAGTGAGATTTTCCAGTTGAGTACCCTAAAGGAATTTGTATTGCTCAAAAAAGATTGTGTATACTTGAATGAGTCAAAACTCTGGATATTCATATGATTTTGGTTAAAAACAAACAAAAGGAAATATTTCTTCACACAACGTACAGTCAACCTGTGGATCTCTTTGCCAGAGGATGTTGTGAAGGCCAAGACTATAACAGGGTTCAAAAAAGAACTAGATAAATTCATGGAGGATAGGTCCATCAATGGCTATTAGCCAGGATGGGCGGGAATGGTGTCCCTAGCCTCTTGTTTGCTAGAAGCTGGGAATGAGCGACAGGGAGTGGATCACTTGATAATCATCTGTTCTGTTCATTTCCTCTGGGGCACCTGGCACTGGCCACTGTTGGAATACAGGATACTGGGCTAGATTTACCTTTGGTCTGATCCAGTATGGCTGTCCTTATGTTCTTATCCTTATCAGAATGGAAAACTTCTTCAAAAGCATATGTTTACTGCCATTTTAATATGTCGGTCAATTTTATTTATTCAGTGCATTCTGCATATAAACAATTTTTTCTAAGCAAATAATTTGAAGAATTGTTAAATTATCTGGTTTCTTATACCTCTTCTCTCAATATCTTGACCAGTAAGTTTAATAGGCAACAGGAAGCTAACTTCTATTTAAAAACTGCTAAATTCAAATATAATTATTAATCATAGTAAGGCAGAATACAGAAGATTATAGGTAAAGAATCATGCTGTTTGAATGTTTTCATTTTGAAGTTTGCCCTACTGTAGGAATCCCTTTCCAAAGCTTAGAAGGCACTATCATACTGAAATCTAGTCAATTTCAAAACAAAAAAAGTGGAAAATGTTCAGGTACTAAACCTGCTTCCTGAGTTCCCGTCTTTTTTAAAAACAAATTATCTTCTTTTTTTCCTATTTCCCAAATACTTCTCTCCCTCTCCGCACCTTGTGTGAAAGACACTCACTCACAGGGGAAAAGTGACCAACTTAACTGACTATAAAGGGAAACAAAAAAAATTGTAAATTATATAAAGTACTATCAAATTGCTAAAAATGAAAAACATGGAGAAAAATATTTCAATTACAGTAGTCCTGGAGTTACTAGCAACAGTACTAAGTAAAAATTCAGATAGCAATGTGATCTTTAAGTTGACTGTGTCCCCTTTAAATATAAAATGTATCAAAGAATGTTGCATTTACAAAGAGTAGTATTAAGTAATGTGTTGATGAAAATGAGTTACAAAGCTTGGGATCTAACAAAGTATTTCATTATTCTTTGTTTCAAGTTCTGTGGGAAAATTTTGCCTGGGAGAATTTGATTTAGTTTCTCAAGTTGTTTGTTGCATTTACCCATTTCCAGTTCATCTGCCAAGATACAACTCCACCGTTTGACAAGACTCCTAAGTCTTTTGAGTTTATAAATTTCAAAATTAGATTTTGTATTGTCAATTTAATATCAGTTATGCCCGCATAAAAGCTGCACCAGGCAAGTTCTCTTAAACATGTTCTATAATGTGCTTAGAATTTTTATAATGTAGGAAACTGTATATGAATGAAGATTAGATTCTTTAAAGGTCACAAACATTTCAATAGGAATTCCTCATTATGGCACACGTCCATTTCTGAAATTGTCACATTCCCTATGCTCTGCCAACAGTCTACTACAACTGGCATTACAGAATTATTATGGAAGTTCATAAAGATTTCTGTAAAAGAAAAATAAAGTGGCAGGTAGATCAAAGGATATGGTGCTTCAGCTGTAGACACAATTACTTACTTTTAATAATAAAATTCATGTTCCTAAAGGAAATAGAATCAGGACCATAGAGTAAAATTTGTATGAACCTGAATATTCAGTTCCAGCAGCTCCCATTGGCCCAGAGCAGTGAACCGCGGCCACTGGGAGCCGCGATCGGCCGAACCTGCAGACGCGGCAGGTACACAAACCGGCCAAGCCCGCCAGGGGCTTTCCCCGCACGAGCGGCGGAACAAGTCTGGGAACCACTGGTCTAAGGGATAAGCAACAGAAAAGTAGTGTTACGTTTCTCCCACCTTTTTTGGGGCCAGATTACAATTATTTTGGGTTGTGTATTTGTCAGACCCCTATTATTAGTTAAATATTATTCTACCTATATTTTCACTTTCAAAAGTATTCTCTTCCCCAATGAGTCTGAAAGAAAACAACCTGTTTCTAACCTAAACAAAGTACAAACACAAAACATTTAAACCTCCCTCCAAGAGATTAACCTCCGTAGCCTTAACAAATTATTAGGGCTGTTGATTAATCGCAGTTAACTCACACGATTAACTCAAAAAAATTAATCGTGATTAATCGCAGTTTTAATCGCACTGTTAAACAATAGAATACCAATTGAAACTTATTACATATTTTGGATGATTTTCTCCATTTTCATATATATTGTATTCTGTGTTGTCATTAAAATCAAAGTGTATATTATTTTTTATTATAAATGTTTGCACTGTAAAAATTATAAAAAAAATATTTTTTAATTCACCGCATACAAGTATGTAGTGCAATCTCTTTGTCATGAAAGTACGTTTAAAATGTAGATTAGTCCACTCAGTCCTACTTCTTGTTCAGCCAATCGCTAAGATAAACAAGTTTGTTTACATTTACAGGAGATAAAGCTGCCCTCTTCTTATTTACAATGTCACTAGAAAGTGAGAACAGGTATTTGCATGGCACTTTTGTAGCCGGCACTGCAAGGTATTTACATGCCAGATATGCTAAACATTCGTGTGCCCCTTCATGCTTCGACCATCATTGCAGAGGGCATGCTTCCATGCTGATGATGCTAGTTAAAAAAAAATGCATTAATTAAATTAGTGACTGAACTCCTTGGGGAGAATTGTATGTCTCCTGCTGTGTTTTACCACATTCTGCCATACATTTCATGTTCTGGCAGTCTCGAATGATGACCCAGCACATGTTGTTCATTTTAAGAACACTTTCACT